CCTTGGATCAGTAGTCAATGAAGTTCAGGTCCCCACTGCATACCTGTCATCACTTCCATGGGGAAGGAACTACAGCTCCCAGCATGCCCACCCTGCTGTGTGCCTGTATTCAGTGTGCAGCATACACAGGCAGCAGCACTGCTGTATTTGAGAAACTTCAAGTCCAACAACACATGTCCTGAATGACGTTGTTCTTCAATAAACTACAAGTGCCAGCACCTGCAACTTGCCGCATGTAATTTCTCGAGGAACAACAATATCCAGCTTTCACATCCTGCAGTGCTTCTGTGACAAGTGTACTACAAGTCCCAGCATACACAGCCTGCACCACTTCTATTGTTGAGGAACTGCCAGTCCAACAGTGCATGCCCATATTTGAGGAACGTCAGGTGCAAAAAATGCACGCCTTGCAGGATGTTGTTTATCAATGAACTAGAAGTCCCAGCATATGCACCTTGCAAGGTAACCTCTCTCAGGGAACAACTGCCAGCATGCACATCCTGCAGTGGTCCTGTGGTCAGTGAACTACAAGCCCCAGCATACACAGCCTGCACCACTTCTATAGTTGAGCAACTGCCAGTCCAACACTGCATGCCTTGTTGCTGGTCAATGAACTATAACTCCCAGCATGAACATTCTGCAGGAATTTCAAAGCTAGGAACTACAACTCCCATCATCTGCACCCTGCAGCAAACCTTATAGTACTTTGTGATGGGACAAGAAGTTCTTCAATAACTGTAAGGTTTCCTTTCACTCAACAGTCAATAAACTTCAAGCTATAGTCATTTCCATTGGTTGAGGAACTACACCTCCCAACATGCGCATCCAGCACTGCCCCTGTGGTCTGTAAACTGCAAGTCCTAGCATAACCAACCTGCAGCACCTCCATAGCTTAGGAACTACAAGTGCAACAATGCATGGCCCCACTTTGGTGGTCAATGAGCTAGCAATCCCAGTGTGATCATTCTGCAGCAGTTCCATAGCTGAGGGAACTACAAGTCCCACCATCTGCACCGTGCAGTACATCACCTGTCAAGGAACTGCAAATCCCAACATGAACATCCTTTCACCAATCCCATAGCTGTGGAAATACTGGTCCCAGCATCTACACTCTGCATCAAACCCTACAGTGCTTCATGATGTGACATGTAGTTCTTCATCAACTTAGAGGTCAGTCAATGAACTTCAAGCCCCGGACATATTCCTGACATCACTGGTCAATGAGCTACACGTCTTCAAGCACTTCCAAAAACAGAAGGACTACCAGTCCCATCATCTGCACCCTGCAGCAAATCACCTGTTAAGGAACTGGAAATCCCAACCTTTAAGGTCATACAGGTTCAAGTGGGATGGAGAGGAAGATTTTTGGAGTAGGGATCAAGCTTACCCATTGCATTTCAGGCCACAATAAATTTTAATCAAGTCATTTGTTTTCATCATACCGTGTCACTGTGCGTGCTAGGTTGCCGAAGACAGTGGAAACTCTGTTAATGTACCATAAGAGCCTCTTTCAGCACATTCACTTGCCTCCCGAGCATTCCAATTACTATGTTTCCCTCCAGATGTGATATTGCTCCCCCCTCCTTCCCATCGTGCCCCTGCCACCCTCCCCTAGATAAACCTTGGAGTATACTAGAACAGGAGGGCATTACCACTTTTTACAATATGCACTATAATCTGATTATAATAAGCACCAGGCATCCAATTTCACTGCATGAATTCACATTAGGGTACTGCAGACATGGATATCTCAGGGGATTCCGACATGCCAGTCAAGGCATCTTCTTTACTCTCATCCCTGCAGCACCAAAAAGAAAACATCCCCAAAAATTCCACAGAACCCCAAAACCGAGCTGGAGACCTGGACAGGGGAGCCGAGCTCCACCGATATTCCTCATTTAATCACAGCTCGTTACGGCAGCGCCAGGATTAATAATTCAGCCAGACATCTGAAAATATTCCAAGGTGGCAGCGATGCCTCAGCCCGCTTCTCCGTACAGGACTGATGTCCATGTGCCATGCTAATTTGCTGGCTGGTCGTGCTTGGTCCCATCTTACATGGTCACTGCAAGTTCAAAGGGTTTCATATTGGAGAGTGAAATGGCACCAGCGGCTGAGGCTGGCACATTTCTTTGAACTGGGGTCGTCTTCAATAGATCGGCACATAAACAGTGTCAGATAGATCTAAGGCAAGGTTGAGATTGTGCATAAACCTGTGGCAAACGGACGTCACTTTTCAATCAATTAAGTGCAGTCCTCACAACATAAGGATTGTGTTTGCTTGGTTGTTATAGGTTGTTGCACATGGTTGTGTGTTTGTGTTATTCTCTGTGTTTGTATGACTGTGTGTGTGCAGAGAGGGTTTTTTTTTCAAATGATTGTGTGTGTGTGTGTGTGTGTGTGTGTGTGTATATGAGCATGCATATGTGTGTGTGTCAAGAGATAGAAAGATAGAGAGAAGGGAAAGGAGAGAAAGAGAGAGGGCGAGGATAGAGAAAGAGATGATAGAAAGAGGAAAGAGAAAAGGAGAGAGATAGAAGAGGGGTGGAAGTGAGGAGGAGAGACAGAAAAGAAGAGGCGTGAGAAGAGATGAGAGAAAGGGAGAGAGATGAGAAGAGATGAGAGAGAAGGAGAGAGATGAGAGAAATGGAGAGGAATAGAAAGAGAGAGAAAGAGAGAAGGAGAGAGAGAAATGAGAGAGAAAGAGAGAAGGAGAGAGAGAAATGAGAGATAAAGAGAGAAGGAGAGAGAGAAATGAGAGATAAAGAGAGAAGGAGAGAGAGAAATGAGAGATAAAGAGAGAAGGAGGGGAGATAGAAAATGATAGAAAAAAAACGGGGAGGGAAGAGAGGAGGGAGAGGCATGAGAGGAGAGCGAGAGAAGAGAGGGAGAAGAAGTGAGAGAAAAGAGAGAGAGAGAGAGAGAGAGAAATGAAAGAGAGAGGGAAATGAAAGAGAGAGAGAGATTATAGAAAGAGGATAGAGAGGAGAGACAGAAAAGAGGAGTGACAGTGAGGAGAAACAAAAAAGAAGAGGAGAGAGAAGACATGAGAGAGAAGGAAAGAAATAGAAAGGAATAGAAAGAGAGAGAAAGAAAGTGAGGAGAGAGAGAAAGGAGGAGAGAAAGAGAAGAGAGAAGTAGGGGAAATAGAAAATTATATAAAAACCAGGGCAGAGAAGAGAGGAGGGCAGAGGAGTTAGAGAAGGAGAGAGAGAGAGAAAGAGAGAAAAGAGAGGGAGAAGTGAGAGAAGAGAAGAGAGAAAGGAAAGAGCAAGAGAGAGGGGGGGGGGGTATAGAGAGAGAAGAGAAGGGGGAGAAAAAGAGGAAAGCGAGAGATGAGAGAGAGTGTGTGTGTGTGCGTGTGTCATTAGAACATGGCACATGTGTAATTTCAACATTGATCCCCTTTAGATAAGTACAGATAGGTCTTTTTTGTGTTCTTGCCTTTATAAACATGTAAGTACAGCATTTTACCGAATTTGTGCAGTGTGACCCTTAAGCCCACCTGGCAGTATACACATGACACGCAGATCAAATGCAAAAACCCAACATGCCACACGTATTCATCACACCGCTGCAGAGACAGGGCTCGGAGATTTCAGTGAACACGTTAAAAACACACAGAGGGAGGTGTATGTGCCACAGACAGGCTGTGCAGTGCATACATATAAGCCGTACCCTCATACCGGGGTGCATGGCTTCCAGCAGATGCTCACTTTTAACACCAAAGGCTTAAATCCTTTAATTGGAAACCCTGAGCCTTCTGAAGAGGGATGGACACCATATCATACCGCAAGGAGAGAACATCCACTATAGGCAAGCACATTTTGTAAATGTTATGTTTTCCTAGTCCTAAAGACATTTTATTTGTTCTTGAATAGCTAGGTCTCAGGGTGAAGTAGTCCGGACCAGCGTTGAATTCCTATTTTGAAGCCATCCAATCATTCCAGAGACCCCCACTGTTGACATTAGCTTGTTATGACAGACAGGTGACGGCTTGTGCTATGGACCCGTCAATCTAGATTTTGGCAGTGTGAAAGCTGCATTGTACGATGGCATTAGCCTCGTCGAGGACGTTACCTTTTCAGAACATTCAGTGTCACTAAATCGTGTGCCCGACCCACTAAATATCATTTCCTTGACCCCATTCCAGGACAGGGCTCTCCCATATAAGCCGAACCATCCCCAAAGCCAACTGAAGATCATAACATTTTGCAAACATTAACCATTTTTTTTTGCCCTTGCCCTCCCCCTCTTCCCCCACCTCTACCTCCGATACCCTCTCCGCATCGCCACATATTAATTCTTCACATCATTAACCCCTCCAAGGCTAATCTATTTCAGCAGTCTCCCACTCTTTAGGAAGCTCACCAGTAAGCAGAAGCTAATTAAAAAACTACCAAAAAGACTTTGCCAAATTTTGCAGCGCAGCATCACCTCCCACAGACCAGAGGAGGAAAAAAAAACAAGCTTTCCTTCTAACTGAAGATCAGTGCCTGATCAGAGATTATCAGGGTGAAAGACAAGCAACGCAAACCAATCTTATCATGTATTGCTGCAAGATTACATTTGAATGATCGGTATTTACATTGCAATGCATAATGCACAGGGTGCACAATCTGTGATATGTGACCAGCTGTGGTGACCAGCCATCGCTCATCATAAATAAATAGCCTTGGTGCCCCATATCTCATGCAGGTTTCAGCAGACCTGTCATCATCTGCACCCCTTCACAAGCTTATTTTCGGAGACCTCAACAAGCGCCCGCCGAGGCTTGGACCCCTCCCTCCTCTTCAGGTAAGTCTAAACAGCAGAACACATAAAAGACCAGCTGTGCCCAAAATCATGTACAGCCTTCAAAGCCCCATCTCGCTAACTGTCCTCCTTCCAAGTCCCAATTGGGTTCTGGTCTAGCATTTTCTTGCTTTCCATTTAACAGAACCATTCAAACCCAAGTTGAAAATCATCTGCCATCCGCAGAAAAATTTTGCTCGGCTTACCTGCTAGAAGATGCATGTATCCTCTTTTAGCAAAAAGGAATGGCAGCTAGACCTTTGCCCGGTGCTCGAGAATAAAAAAAGCCAGGCATCCTGCACGGAAAGGACAAACCCAAGTCCTCTTCTCTCTCCGAGTGGGATTTTTTCAGGCAGAAATTGCAAAGCAGCAGCAAAGCCTGATTAGGTGGATCCTCGGGTTTCCTCCTGACACAGTACAGTATATCCACAGCGTTTGCAGGTGATAAGCCACCACAGATCCCACCGTTTGATATCCCCTCCTTTAAAACACCAGCATCCCTTTACAGATTTTGCATTGTGCAGACGGTAGACCTTTACGTGCTCGTTCAGGGCACAGGGGGGGTGGATGCAGAACTTCCAACCGGAGGATGCAGGAAAGACACCAACGCACAGCCAGAGAGAAGAGCTACAGTAGGAACGCCTGATCTGCTGTTATCCTTGTGAGTGCGATAGATGGCAGAGCCCTCCACAGCTCAGGAAAGGGAAAATAGACACACACATTCAAGCAGCTTGGGTTGCTTTTTTTTTTTTCCTTTCCTTTTTTTTTTTTTTACGCTTCCCTAGTGATAATTAAAAGCAATGTTGCTTTGCTTCAAATCTGTAAAAGCCAGTTATCCACTTTTAGGGAAATAACCATTCCAAACAAATGCAAAAAAAAAACAAAAAACAAAAGAGAATTTATGAAGAGGAGGAGGATAAAAAAAGGAGCCTTGTGTTCAAGCAGATTGGCTGTAATTCTGTGGCAAGGCTACTGTCCTGATAATCCTTTGCGTAATAATAGAAACTTAAGCTTGTGTAGACACTGGCTGACATGCCAAATCCTCAGATCAACACTCAACATTGGTCGGATGGAGGCATGTCACTGGCTCTGTGATTTGGAGAGAGGAAAAGAAAGAGAGAGCGAGAGACAGAGGAGGGGAGGGAGGAGGAAGGATAGATTCTGCATTTAAGAACTACAGTGCAGTTCTGTACTAACATCAACATTGACATGCATGTCTGTTAAAGCAGAGCTTCACTTATTTATTTTTTATATAAGTAGCTTAACATGGGAAAGAATAAAAAAATGCAGCTTGGACTGATGCACTCCCCCTCTCTCACTGCCCCCCACAGACTCACAGATCCAGGCTGGATCTTCTGGGTTGACTGGACTGGAGCTTCTAGGTTGAATGGATTGGAGCTTCTGGGTTGGATGGACTGGATCTTCTGTGTTGGATGGTCTGGAGCTTCGGGGTAAATGGACTGGAACTTCTGGGTTTGAATGGACTGGAGCTTCTGGTCTATTCAATTCTACTCCCCCCTCTGTCGCTGTCCCCCACTGATTCACAGATCCAGGCTGGAACTTCTAGGTTGAATGGACTGGAGCCTCTGGGTTGGGTGGTCTTGAGCTTCTGGGTTAAATGGACTGAAGCTTCTGGGTTGAATCGGCTGGAGCTGCTAGGATAAATGGACTGGAGCTACTGGGTTGAATGGACTGGAGCTTCTGGATTGAATGGACTGGAGCTGCTAGGTTGAATGCACTGCAGTTTCCGGGTTGAATGGACTGGAGCGTCTAGGTTAAATTGACTAGAGCTACTGGGTTGAATGGACTAGAGCTACTGGGTTGAATGGACTAGAACTTCTGGGTTGAATGGACTAGAACTGCTTGGTTGAATGGACTGGAGCTTCTGGGTTGGATGGTCTGGAGCTTCTGGGTTGGATGGTCTGGAGCTTCTGGGTTAAATGGACTGGAGCTTCTGGGTTAAATGGACTGGAGCTTCTGGGTTGAATGGACTGGAGCTGCTAAGTTAAATGGACTGGAGCTGCTAAGTTAAATGGACTGGAGCTAAGGGGTTGAATGGACTGGAGCTTCTGGGTTGAAATGGACTGGAGCTTCTGGGTTGAAATGGACTGGAGCTTCTGGGTTGAAATGGACAGGAGCTTCTGGGTTGAAATGGACTGGAGCTTCTGGGTTGAATGGACTGGAGCTGCTAGTTTGAATGGACTGCAGTTTCCGGATTGAATGGACTGGAGCTGCTAGGTTAAATGGACTAGAGCTACTGGGTTGAATGGCCTGGAGATTCTGGGTTGAATGGACTGGATCTTCTTGGTTGGATAGTCTGGAGCTTCTGGGTTAAATGGACTGGAGCTTCTCGGTTGAATGGACTGGAGCTCCTGGGTTGAATAGACTGGAACTTCTTGGTTGAAGGAACTAGGGTTTAATTCATTCTGTTATCTTAAAATAAATCAGCAGTTTGTGTGCATAACACTAAACCCCTAAATCCTAATCAGAAACTGTATACATATCAAAAAAGATATATGAAATATATATGTCAAAAAATACAGTGAAAGAAAAAAAGAAGACCAAATATGAATATATAAAATGATCAATACAAATAAACCCATTTAAACTAATCACTGTAAAGTTTGAACTGAATGCAGCACTAAATAATCTAACTTATTATTATTATTATTATAATACAGGATTTATATCGCGCCAACAGTTTGCGCAGCGCTTTACAATATAAGGAAGACATTACAGTCACAATACAATTCAAGATAAGATGGTAAGGAGGGCTTAAATAATATGCATGATAATACACATGTAAGTAATAAAATAATACGTAAAATATTGAGTTTTCAATTTGCCAGTACTATATAGTGTATCTTCTTTTCTTTGTACACAGCACTTTACGATCCTTTACACCATAATAAATAAATACAATTGCATCTTAAAGTGACACTAAACTCCAGAGTTTTATCCTAAAAATACATTCAAATACCTGAACTATTACCAAAAATGTATCGTATTTGTGTATCACTCGGCTGTAGATCCTCAAATCATCTTTTAATTGGTGCTGACACTGTCGTTTCTTCTGGACGGGGGGCTACTTTTGTTCCCCATGGTCCCTGTGTGTGTTGTAAAGTAGTAACCGCTGCAAGCTCACTCGAGACGGACTACAATCTCAATACAAATGAGTAAACTAAACGTGAGATTGTAGTCCATCACATGAGCGAGCTTGGATCGGTGACTACTTTACAATACACACAGGGACCATGGGGAACAAAAGTAGCCCCCCTCCAGAAGGAAGGACAGTCTCAGAACCAATTCAGAGATGATTGGTGGATCTACAGCTGAGTGATACACAATTAAGATACATTTTTGTTAATAGTTAAGGTACTTGAATGTATTTTTAAGATTTAACTCCTGAGTTTAGTGTCAATTTAAAGGGTCTACTTATAAACAATATGCAGAGCCATTCGCCCTGTGAATCTCTGTGAATGTTCATTCTGTGAGAATGGATGCACAAAACAAACGTTCTTGTTATATTTCCTTTATAATCATAACTTTCCTATGCTCCTCAGCTTTATGACAAGAGTACGTCCAAGAATACCTTTGAAGTCAATTGTATTCTTGAACTGAATCTTGTCATACCTTATTATGGCCACTAAGTGGAGCTGAGGAGCATGGGAAAGTGATAATTATAAAAGAACATTTAACAAAGAACGTTTGTTTTGTGTATCCTTTCGCGCAGAATGAACATTCACAGAGATTCACAGGGTGCATGGCTCTGTAAATTGATTATAAATAGACCCTTAAACTATCTAGTGGCAGTAATGCAGTGCAAATGCCATTCGTCCATCTTTACACTGGTCAGAAAGGTTTACACATGAACCCGATACAGTTCTTAACATAGGATTTTACTCAGTTAGTCCCGGTGTTATGGATTGTAAAGAGCTGTGTACAAAGAAAAGAATATTTACCTCTTCGGTACCACCATGTTGAACCCCCTTTATTGCCAGACCATATTTTATTTTCAGTTTTCAGTGCTGTGATAGTTTGACTGACCATTACTCCGTCACACAACACTGCACCCAAATTACTTTGATATCATTTTTTTGAAAATACTTTTTTATTGGATTTTTCATAAACACAAGTATACAAGAAATATGACATATATGATCAGACATGTGGCGAGCATGAAGAGCAAACCAGTATAGTTTGATATCATTTTTTAAAGACATTGGGGTCTATTCACAAAGCTGCCAAAGGATCTAGCCGTAGCTTTGGGCGATCCTTCGGCTGGCTTCGGCCCCAGGACCCCTTCGGTTCAGTAGAACCGAAGGGGTGCTGTACGGGCTATTCACTATTGCCCGTACAGCTCCCGAACGTGTCCGAGCGGATCAGTCGAGCCGAACGCATATGCCTCGGCGCGGCTGAGCCGCGCTGAAAGCCGAAGCTGGCCGAGCAGCCGGCCAACAGCCTGCTTATGACAGCTGGGCGGAGCTGTCCCTCTGTTTGGAGAAATTTCCTCTCACTTCCTGTTCTGGCTATCGCACAGGAAGTGAAATCATATTCTATGATTCTTGGCCATGTGAGCAGTATTCACCCAGCCATATGTTGGGAAGGTTTACACATAATATCCTATGTGTCTCCTTATTGTGTGTACCAGGGTAGGAAACTACAAGTCCCATGAGGCATTGCAAGACTCTGACAACCACAGGCATGACACCCAGAGGCAGAAGCATGATGGGATCTGTTGTATCACCACAGCAGGAGTGCTGAGGTTGCCTACCTGTGATTTACACAATATGGAGACCCATAGGATCGCATGGCATTACCACCACTAGATGGCTCCAAGAATCATAGGAAAATCCTTCACTTCCTGTCTGATAGCCAGAACAGGTAGCAAGAGGAAATTCCTCCAAACAGATGTTCGGCAGGGTCGTCATTTGAAGATTTCCCACCTATTCCTGTTCTGGTGAGAAACCCAAATTTGGGATTTTCTTTCACTTTCACTGGGACACATAGAGAAGGTGATTCAAAGACAGCAATAAAAACCCAACAGGTGTTCTAATCCCTCTTCCCACCATCCAAAACTACAACAAAAAAAGCTTTGCCTTCAGTAGCACTTTAAATATTCTATCTAATGGCGCACCCGTCCCTGGGTGTCACCCTCCCGGCTCTGCAGTGTACATCACGAAACCGGCTGAACGGCGCAAATATTTTGTGAATAAAAACAATTAAAATATATGTTTTTGAAGTGTGTATTTAGGCAGTTTGGCAGCGGCTCAGTTTTTATACAGTTTCATCAATGTGTTCTCATTAATAACAGTTCTGCTGGCAAGCTGTGCGCGTGACGTGACCACTTTAGTGTAGGCACTGCCTGTTAATTAAAGTCACTGCACGCGTCTGTGTGTTTATAACTGAGCTCTGCGCTATTAATCAGACACAAAGCTGCCAGGTGGATGGAGCCTCTTATGACAGGAAGGAAAGGGAGATTTTGTTTGTATATTGGCAGCCTAAACGTACATCTTCAATGCCCTGGTAGAGCTCAGCTCGGTCGGTGTTACTTTGTTACAAGAAAGATATAAAAAAGGAGAAGTATTAATGTTCAGGACATGGAAGGGACACCCCAGATGGAAAGTTAACCTTTAAAATGCACGTGGGAGGGGTTTCTGCTTTTCATCCAAGCATAGCCGTCTTCCAACAAGATGCTTACTGGCCCCCAAGATGCCTATTGTCCATCAACATGCTGATTGGCTAT